GACAAATTTAGCATAACATAAAGTATATCCTGAGAGTATGCATGAGACTGAGGAGAATATGTGGGAAAGGAAAAGAAAGGCATTAAGCAGGAGTCAGTTCCCTGGATGGTAAAAAGATATTAAGCAGAAGTTAGTGCCCTGGATCGTTGCAGTGTAATTTTCTTTGGATGCAGTACATCCAATGGAGTAGTATAGATGGAACTGATAGCACCACGTGTTATGTTTGGTTGACACTTCCTGTTATAAATTCTTGTCTTCAACTGTTTAGAACTTTGACAAACTTTAACCATTTGGGATGATACTTTCCATGATGTGGTCTGCCTCGGGCTGAATGTTTTTGGAAAATTTCAGCCAAAAACATGTCAGCTATTTCTAAGAGCAAGGTTAGAGAAAAATACATTGTTTTGCCTAAGGTCAAAAATTCTAATGATGTTTTCTTTGAAAAGCTGTAGTGCTCCTGTGCTTTGGAGCAGGGACTTCAAAATTTGGTATGGAGGTAACCTTTGTGTCAGGAATGTGTTTTGCCACCTCTTTGAAAACTTATCCAGATTTGCCAAGTTATAAGCCTTTAAAAAAATTAAAGTTTGTATATGCTCAATAGAGACTTCCTAGAGCTTTGCAGACTAAATTCCCTGAAAATTCCATCTGCACTGGGCATGCTCCAGCCCAGGGCTGAGCAGGACTTTCCCTGCAGTTTCAGCTCTGAGCTACCGCAGGCCAGGCCAGGCCAAGGCCAGGCACCAGAACTGAAAACAGGGTGCCTATCTCTCCTGTTCTCTCAATGCCTCTGCTGTTTGACCCAAGCAGCTTGGAGGTAGAAGATGCCTTATACAAAACAGAGGGGGCAAGAGCTGGATAGGGTTGGGAGAGTAGATTGGGACAAGGAGCTGATGTGAGGAGAGATACTGGGCATGGAGACTGGTGCAGGGAAGGGAAATGGGGTCTGGGAGTTGTAGTCGGGAAAACTGGGAGCTGGAGATTAACTAGTCAGTGAGACTGAGACCTGGGGTGGGGGAGACTGGGACGGATTAGGCAAGCAGACTGGAACAGTAAGAAAGAGAGCAAAACTGGGCAATTGGGAGTCAATGGGTGGTAGACTGACATCAGATGAGCCGCTCGGAGGAGACTGGGACTGGCTGGGCAAGGAGATTGGGACTGGGAACCAGTGAGGCAAGAGGAAAGAAGTGTGCGGGGTAGGGGAGACAGATTGACAGAGGAACTGTGAGGTGGAGGATGAGGAGATATTGAGATTGGGATGAGGCACCTAGGAAGGAAGATTGGGACTGGGAGGCAGTGAGGATAGTGAACATAAAATAGGGGTGGGGGAGAGAGGCTGGGGCGGGGCACTGGGACTATCTGAGTAAGGAGATTTGTGGGGGATAAGGAATTAAGGGGGCGGGAGGGGGAACTGGTATTGGTTGGGCAAGGAGGCTGGGAATGGGAAGAATGGAATGAGAGGAGGGGAGACGAGGACTGGGAAGAAGAGTCCAGAACCTGGTGCAAGGAGACTGGAACTGGAATCAGAAGTGTGAGGAGTAGAGATTGGGACTGGCTAGGTGAGGAGACTGGAAAAAAGATCCAGGAATGGGGAAGAGACAGGACTGGGACAGGACCAGGTTGGAGGGGATGGGACAGAATCAGTCAAGCTTGGGGACATGGGGATAACAGTAGGTGTCCACTACGGCAGTGGTTCTCAACCTGTTTGGTGCTCAGAACCCATTTGGACTGTCACGACCCAGAGACCTCGGAGAAGCTCCCAGACCTGATGAGAGAGACCCCCATAGGAGTGTGTCAGAGGGATGGGATGGGGGCTCAGAGCTAAGATTCCAGATTCTAAAACCAAATGTGAACAGCTTGGGAACCACCCCACCTTGGCAACTGGGGGGAGGGGTAGTGAGCCAAGTCACTCCCCCAAAACATAGTCCCTTCCTGGGAGACAGAGGGTAAAAGGTGGGAGGGATTTGGGGTGCTGGAGCTGAATTGAAGAGATCAGGGGGCATTGGGTATAGTGCAGAACCAGATGGTGATTTGAGGGTTGCTGAGGAACAGAGGGGTGTGGGAGTGAAGTGGGAGACTGGGGAAAGAATATGGGGGGAGAGAGGTCGGGGGCACATGGCAAGCTGATAACTCCCAAAAAAACCACACAGACCCCACACATGATCCATAGGGAGCAGAGGGTAAAGGGATGGGGGATTTGGGTTCCTGTGGGATATGTGGGAGGGCTGGGGAAAGGAGTTGGGGGCAGAAGGGGCTGGGGGTTGCAGTGGAGGAAGATCTGGGGTGCTGGGGGCCAGGATGGATGGTATGACAGAGGAAGAGTCACACAGCTTTGGGATTGGGGAACCATCGAGGGGCCCAAGCTGGGGGGTGGGACAGGGGGCATGGAAGATGGGGTGTCACTCGGCTGAGGGGCACAAGATATGTCAGGGAACCAGTACTTACTGGGAAATGTAACACCAACCACTACCTCCCGTCTCCTCTCCTGCAAGGCTGGCTGGGTTTGGCTCCCCGCTTGAGGGATTGACCTAATGGCGGGGCTGGCCAGGCCAAATTTGTGAGAGTGATATTGTGACTTGGTGCATGGGGTCACAGCACCACTTACTCAATGTAAGGGTGGCTGGCCATATCTGAGTGGCACTGTGACCCCATGCAGCAGGTCGCAACTCCTGGAGCAGGGAGCTGAGTAAAGCCAGCTCTGTGATCCTTTGACACATTCTGATGACCTCGTTTTGAGTCATGATCCAAGTGGAGAAACCCTGGATTAGAGCAAAATCCCTTCCAGCCCCTGGAATGGAACCCAAAATTTCTGAGTTTCATCATTCCTCTGCTCATCAAGTATCTGTGAATCCCATTGGCAAGTGCATGTCTCCTCTTTCTCTAGCACTAACCCACAGAGCAATCCTCTATAAGTTACTCCATTAAATCAAGTAGCAAGGGCCAGTACAGTGGATCTAAAAGTTCCAAGCCTGCTAATGAACCATTTGGGTGTCAACATGATGGAATTTCTGGGACAAGGTTCAATTTGTTTTTTTAAAAGCCTAGGAGATTACCCACAAAAAGAAGGCAACCTTATGTCTGGCATTTCCTAACTTTTGGAGTGTTTGACTTTATAACCCTAGTAATGATCTTTAACATAGTATGTGTGTGTAATTTAATGTAGGAAGTTGCTATAGTGGTGGATATGACATGGGGTGTATCCTCTCCTTATAGGAGTAATGCTTGTGTTTAGATACTACAGTCTTCTTTACATCCCCAAATTGTAGCAGTTTAATTTAAATCAGTTTGTTGTTGTTTTTTTGCGATTTTAATTAAACAGGTGCAAGCCCCCTTATTTTGGCCTAAATGAGAATTATTTTAAATGAGTTAAATCTTTTCCTAATTTATTTAGGTAAACCAAAATAAACCCGGTATAAACCAAAATAAGAGTATCCACGCAGCTTTAAGTTCAACTGCTGCTATGTTCTTGTGTACTCAGGCACTAGGATCAATTCATGATATGGACCCAGCTGAGGAGTGAGACAGAATGTATGTTCCTCTCTAGGTAAAGCTAATTAGGTTACATGTGCCAGTGCCATTTATGTCTTGGACAAATGGGCCACCTAGTATTAATAGTGCTGCTGCTGTGAGGAGTGATATGTCCTGGCAGATTAACAAAGGTTTTGGATGGCAATTACAATTGCAGATTCAGTCACAATTGTGGCGATTCACATCTGCTAGCCCAAGTGCTTCACACAGACAACAAAAGTGCATAAAGTAATGCCAGAAACACCAGGGCTAGTCAACGATACTTCCGAGAGCTCCATCACCCTGGATGATAAAATAATCTTCAGAAAAACAATCATTTAATTGTTTGGCAAGAAAGCTATGTTAACACAGCTGCAATCACTAGTAAAATAGGCTGCATGAACTGCCCATGTAAGATTTACCTACAACCTAGCAGATTCGACAGCAGGATGGGCAAGGCACATAATTTTTCATTAGTATAACTTAAGGAAGAAATCTTTCCATTAGTGTGGTCTAAGTGGAGCTTTCATTGGAATGGTATTGCGATATGTCAGTCTTGACAATGAAACACAGAGCTGCTACTGTGTTTTTGTTTCATTTTTTAATGCAGGGGAAATATATCTGTAGAGCAATGCTTCTCTTTAAAAGAGTCTTATGTTTCAGATCACTGAAGCAAATTTTCTATCTAGATACTTATCTGGTTCCAATCACCATAGCCTCTGAGCACCTCACAAATATTAATAAATTTATTCTCATGGTATCCTTCTGAAGCAGGGAATTAGCATTTTACAGATATGGAATTAAGACAGAGATAAATAGCCAGATTTTCAGAAGTGCTCAGTACCCTGCAGCTCCCTTTGAGCACTTTTGAAAATCTGGCCACTCCATGTTGGTGCCTAAATGAGAGTAGTGCTTTTTTGAAGATCCGTTACCAAGTGACATGTCCAAAGTCATACATGGAATCAGTGGCAGAGCTGAGAATTGATGACAGATCTCCTCAGTCTCAATCCATTGCCTTCACCATAAAATGATCCTTTCACCAGGACCAGAGGGTTGGTCAGAAGTGTGAAGGGAGTAAAATAGGCACTACATTGATTCTCTCTCATGCACACATATCTACACTATGTGAATTTAGCACAGGTGAAAGGTGCCCAATTGATAGCCCTGGGGACTGAAGTCCTCCATTTATACACTGAACAGGGAGAGTATAAGCTTATCCCAAATTCTCCACCTGCATGCCTCATCCCTGAGGGCAAATTGTTTTCAGTTCACATTCAGTTCCTAGCATGCCTGCTGTATCTACAAACAAAAGCATCAACCAGCATCAGCTGTGGCAGTGGTTTTGGGGATATAGACACGTAACTGCTGGGAACTGGACTGAAACCCCAACATTTTTTGAATCACGCAGCCTTCAGATAGTAACAAGTTTTGGTCACAACTGCCTTGTTTTGGAGTTGACAAGCTGCAGCCTTAAGCTCTTCTTCTATTTGCTACAGGTGAAATATGGGAACTACGCCTTTGTGTGGGATGCAGCAGTTCTGGAATACGTGGCCATCAATGACCCAGACTGCTCCTTTTACACAGTTGGGAACACTGTCGCAGACAGGGGATATGGAATTGCACTCCAGCATGGCAGCCCCTACAGAGACGTCTTCTCGCAAAGGTAAGATTCAGGAGAGGATGGAATAGGGATTAAGGGAAGATATCTCTCAGCTCTGGAACCACTTCTAGTTGCATTTTCTTTGGGAGAAAAACTTACTGTTATTGCTGCTGTCCACTCCTTGACTTTGTACATATGCATTCACTTACTTGGGAATGTACGTAAAAACAGAAAAATGCCCCGCTTAGCAAAAAGAAAGGAATGAAAAAAGACACTGGTGTCGCCTGGCCTTACATCATCAAACATACTGAAGCCGGTGACTGCCAATTGCATATTCTGGTATTTTATGCTGAATTATTCATTCCTCTAGCAGTCTCATTAAAATACTTAGTTTTGCTTTAGTTCTTCTCACCCCCTCCTGAGAAACATCAGAGAGTTGCACTGAACTTTATTGGCAGCAAAAAATGGTTTGTGGAACCTCTGTTGTTTGGATAGAAGGGTCCCACACTCAGTGCTTTTGAGAAGATGTCCCCTCCCCCAAAAAAGTTACAAGCCTTTTCTAAGGAGAGAAAAACGTGTAAGAAAGTTCTGAGGTTTTTCCAAAGCTTACTCAACCTTTTGGAACTGCAAAAGTGAGATCTCTAGTGAGATTCCTGGTACCTGTTGCTTTTGGTCAGACCAGAAATACCAACAGAATTGTCTTTATTGTGCTTTCTCAGCATTCGGTATTAACTCAAAATTGCAGATGCATGTAAAATGGAAAAAAACCCAACAATAACGAACAAACATACTTTTACAAACCACAGGAAAGCTTTATTTTGTATCCAGTTTGAATTTTGGATGAAGGTCTGGGTGAATTATATGGTTCCTATTTATTCCAAACCTTTTCTCGCAACCCTATTGCTAAGTATTTGCGCTTAAGGCAAATGACAAAATTTCACACTTGCTTTGTTGGAATTTCTTCTGTGTGGCTGTCGTATTGGATATCCTTCATTATGTCATATGAATATGTTTCATTCAGGCTTGTGCCCCTTGTGTTCACTTTCTTTGAATATTCAGACTATTCAGATACTGGCACAGATATCTGCAGAAAGCAAATGTCAGAGTTTTGATATTGAATATTCACAGGACTGAATTTTAAATTCTCCTGTCCAAGTAATTGTGCCAGAATTGTGCTTGTGCATTTGTCATCACAGGGAAAAGAAACAACCAGAAATAATGCTATGTGACTTATCTGACAACTAAGCAGCACAATTTGATTTTTAAATATTTGCATTCACTTAATAGAGTATATTAAAAAAGATGGTTGAATTATTTCAAGTAATACATAAATTCAAGGAAATCATTATCTGCTCAGATATTCTATGAGCAGAAAGGGACGAATATTCAGTTAATATATTACTGATTGGGAACTATTTGCCTGACTTGTGCTCTGAGATAAACTTTAACAAAAATCTAAAACGTTTACAGAAGTGATGAATGCATTGAGCTATATATTTGATTGTGTGTGTGTGTGTAAATATATATATTGCTTGCTTATTTTGCATAGTGTATATCAAGCGAACAATGCTAGAGTCCTAGATATTTTCTGCTGAGCTCACATGGACATGTTCACTGAAAGTTTCAATAATTTTTTGACAAGCAACTCCCTATAATGTTTTATATATTTAAATTATAGGGAGTTGATTGTCAAAAATATTGAAACTTTCAGTGAACGTGTCCATGTAAGCTCAGCAGAAAATATCTAGGACTCTAGCATTGATATACACTATGAAAAATAAGCAAGCATAAATCCTTCCTATAATCTTTCTAAGGAATGTTCCCAGCCATCTAAGCTCTGGAACAGCTACATAGAGAGGGGAGAGTGATGTGATGAGGTGTCTTTCGGGGTCTTAAGTCATCTTGTTCTGAGCATTAGCCACATGAGTTTGATTTTAAGAAATGGAAACAGAGAGAAACAGGAGACCAAGGATGAAACCCTGGTCCCACTGAAGTCACTAGGAATTTTGCCCAGTCCTGTACATGAAGGTTTTCATATCTTCAGATCAAGAGTGAAATATATGTGCAAAATAATAGTAGTATTTTCATTTTATTAATAGTAACTATAATTTTGTTACTGATACAATAATAGCATCTGCAAACAGGGATATACTTGCAAGGCATATTAGTCCCCTCGGTATTAGACATGATCATCACTAGAGTTAAGAAAAAAAATCCCCCCCGTGGTACAGTATTGAACAAATAGGGAGGTTTGGTTATGCCGTCATCTGAAGCATTGGCATTCACTGTGCAGGTCTGACAGTTCTAAGTAAGTATTTTGTCTCAGAATCGCAGCATTTCAGTATATTATTTTTTGAAGGCATATGTAAGCAGAAAGAAGCGTAAAAACTTGCACTTATGTAGCACCTTTTATCTGAGGATCTTTGAAGCACTCTATAAATAATAGCATTCCTCTGAGAAAATAAAGAAATTTTTCCCTTAATACATGGGTAAATTGTGGCACAGAGGGAGGTAAGTGACTTTCCTAAGGTCACAATTTGTCAGTGGCAGAGTCAGGAATATAGAACCCAGCATTCTTGATTTTCAGTCCTCTGCTCTAATACTCTAACACAGCATGGGAGAGTAGGTGGATGGATAATTTATGAGATCTCTAGAGTCTGGGGAGTCTGAACTGGTATTATGCAATTTTAGCACTAATGAGCAAAGAACTGATTATATCATCAGGACTGATGACTGACCAGAAGGAACATGACCCCATGCACCTAGGTGGGCCAGAATGCGCCTGTCAGGGCAGTGCTGGTGAATAATTTAGAGAGTTCGATTATGTATACACTGATAACCTATGTGACCTCCCTTTAAATAACTTTCTATTTCTTTGTTATGAGATTCTGTGAGAGGGAAGCTGCCCCTACTAGGGGTCAAGAGTTCAGCCTACCTCTGACAGGCTCCACAAGTGGGAATAAGGCAGCTCAGGTTCACCTCTGAGTAGTTAACTCACTGAGTAACTGGGAGGCATTTAATTAGGCAGGGGAGGCTCTGTGCATGACTAAAGGCTACTGCTGTGTGAGCGTGAACTCTTGTGGAGAAAGGAAGCTGCCAGAGAGATTGCAGAGAGAAAACTCCTCCAGCAGATAGGAGAAGCTGTCAGAGAAGCCACCACTTGAAAGAAGGAGAAGCAGAGCAGGGGAAGCCTACAGAAGAGGAGAGGTAGGAAGTAGCTCAGAGAGCAGCATGAGACGGAGAAGGATTGGTTTTGATTGTTCCAAACAAGGGCCCTGAGTTGGAACCCAGTGGAGTGGGTGTGGGGCTGGGTCCCCATACCTACTCCCACCAAGAACTCTGGAGACAAATTATTTAAACCCAGGGGACCTAGGGTTCTCTAGCTTCCCGAAGGGGGCAGAGGTGATTACTAACCTGACCAGAGGGCTGGGTCACAACAGGGACTTGACAAACGCAGAATTGAAAGTGGCAGCATGAAGGGGACAGTGTAAAGTGGTGTAATTCCCCATCCTGCCACAAGAGATCACTAACAGGCAGAGGACCCATATTAGACCCTCTTATATTCCATTGTTAATTACTTCTGTCAATTTAAATTTAAACATTTGAACCTGGGGAACAGTACTTAAGAAACAGGCACCATGAAGAGAGAGCTTGCTTACATGGCAGGTTTTTCAAAGCTCTCTTAGTACTGTTTATCATGACTACTATCATGAGTATTTTACAAATCACCCTTGCTTCTCTTTCTAATGGAAAGGATGAATAATCATCAATTGCAGCAATCTATATTCTAGACAGAAGGAAATAAATTTTCCTGGGGTGGAATTAGCAAATGTTCCTATGAATATTTCAAAGTCCTTAATGTTATAGGGTATCCATTTGAAATGTATTGGCATTTCCTGCTCTCTCCTGGGCTAGTCAGATTTATGTGAAAATGCAGGTCTTTGCATTTATGAAATATCCAAATTCTGTATAGCGCCATCAGCTGAACAGTGTTAAATTCCTAGAGTGCAGCTGTATAAGGTCTTGCGAGATGACCAAATAAATAAATAAATAAAAATCCTTGATCTCAACCCAGGGAGCATGAGCAGCACAGGACTCATTGTTACCTTTTCAGAACAGGAAACACCCAGCATAGGGGATTCCCCATAACAAGGGAGAGAGAAAAAGATCCCCAGGTACCCAAGAGGCCAGATGATGACTACTCCCCCTCTGCTCTCAAGGGCTGTAGATCATGATTCACAGCTGGGCACTTGAAGTCAAAAGGAGACTGTGGTAACTTTCAGATACTTAGGATGTGCTGGCATGCTCTTCTCCAAGGTGTCCACAGGGTAAGACACATGGAGAAGGCTAAAACATTGGGGGAATTTAATGACCTACATCTGCTCTGTGAACTATCGCAATCTCTGTTCTCTAGAACAGAATCACTCACATAGCCAGTTCCCCTTCACCTCCTAGTATTGAATTACATTTTTACATAGTAAAGCTAATTGATAGCAGGTCTAATGCATTTCTCATTTAGAGCTGCCAACACTTCATCTCCAAATCTTTCAAACAACATAAAATTCTCTGATGTAACTTCCTGTAATAGTTGAGCCTGATGTGTGGTTCCATCATATTATAGTGTCTTGTCTCAAATGGTTTGATTGAGACCAAAAGAATCTTGGAACAGCCCCCAACCAAGAACACAGTGACAATGGAACTGCTGTGTGGACACATTCATATCAGGTTAAGGCTTGGTCTACACCTACAGATGCAGCAGTTTAACTAACGGTGTGACTTTTAAGTTGATTTAGTTAAACAGGTGCAAAATTCTATGTGGATGTACTTACGTCCGTTTAGTTTATTATTCATAAATGTACAGGCACAAGCTAACCTCATGTAATTAGTTTTAAACTGATATAAGTGTGTCCACACATAAGTTTGCCCTAATTTAACTAAATCAGTTTAAAATAACACCATTGCAAGTCTGTGTATAGACAAGGCCTAGCAGAGGATACAGTAATTAACACACATTCTGAAACCTTCGTATCAATAGCCTCTCTAACTACTTTTTTTTAACTAAC